TATCCACTAGAGGCTAGTCTATTTTCCCCATTACGGCAAATGGGGCACTACCCCCCACCACCTTCAGTCTGCCCTCAGCCAGCTCCCATTTGCCTGCCTTCCAACTTGCAACCAGCCAGGAGGGGAGCCCTCGCTGTCAGCTTCCACCTCTGTAGTCACTGCGTTGCCCTTGTATAACTCAGCAAGGAGGATGGGGGACAGGCCTAGAATTAGCCAGCCCTGCCCAACCTCGGCTTTGGCTCCGTCTACTGTCAGGCACCCTGCCTTCTGCCCTACAAGTCCCAGGGGGTGTCACAGCCACCCGTGTTTGTATCCCACATGTATGTACCTCAAGGGGTAATTTGAAGAAACATATACATGGCCTATTTATTACCGGAAACCCCTCTTCTGAAAGTATAGAATCTGTGCCACATGGGCCCTTGGAGAGAACAGGAGTCAGAGCATGAGGGGTTTGATGAACTTACTGTGCGATCCAAGTGTCCTATGAAGTAGAACTGTCTATGTTAAAATGTGTAAATAGATAGCCAATAGATTATCAGTGGTGGTAGTGCAGGGCCCCCAATTCACATACAGTGTACCAGGCCCAGGAAATCCTGTTGGCATCCTTGCGCACATGCAAAAGGTTCAGTCACTGGCACCATTGTTTAAAGCTGGAGGGAGGCGGGCGAGTCGGGCGGCGAGAGGCGGGGCGGCGGCGGCGAGGAGAGGCCGCGCCTCCTGCTGCTGCCTGGCGCTCCTCCTCGCAGCCGGCAGCGCTGCCTGGGCGCCTCCGCGCGACTCTGCCTCGCTGGGTTTGGTCTCCCAGCAGAGACGGGTCACACGCGCCCCTCCCTCCCTCCCTCAGCCTGCGCGGAGGGAGAGCCAGAGAGAGGCATCGCTCCTGCGCGGCGGGAGAGGGAGCAGCCGGAGCGATGCCCCAAACGAACGCATGGGACCGGAGGGGAAATCCTCTCCGAGGCGGATTGAGCGCAGCTGAGAGAAGCCTTTCGAGGAGCTGCCGTGTCCCCTGGAAACCCCCTTCCCAGCTCTGCCTCAGCCGCCGCCGCCTCAGTTGCCGCCGTCCCTCAGTCCCTCGCTCTGCTGCCTCCTCCCACCCCCAAAGCTTGGAGGTTCCCCAGCAAGGGGGAGGGAAAAAACTTTCACTTTTGTGCGTCCCTCCCGGCGTGACGCTGCGCGCTGACGTCACGGGGCGGGGCTTTAATGGTGGTGTGCCGCGAGATTTTTTTCCAGTAAACAGGTGTGCCGTTGCCCAAAACGTTTGGGAAACACTGCCCTAGAACATGGGTCGACAAACTAAGGTCCGCGGACCAGATCAGGCCCAATTGCCTTCTGGATCCAGCCCGCGGATGGTCTGGGAATCACCATATGGATCGCCAGCATGCATGTTCTTTCCCTCTCACTCCCTCTCCCTCACACGGCGGTGGCGGCACCTCCTTCCTCCCTCCTCCTGGCTTCTTCCCGCCCTGCCAAGAGGAGGAAGGGGGCTGGGCTTTGTTGGTGCCAGCGGCAGCAGGCTCGAGCGGCCACCATTTTAAGCAGCTTCTCTCTGGAGCCCTTTCATGCACCGCTCATCGTCCTGCCGCCACCGCCAGCCCCTGCTGCTCGCAAGACACAGTTAAGCAGCCGCCGGGGCTCATGGTGCTCTGACATCTCCCCCCCCCCCACAAATATAGTCCAGGCTAGTCCAGGCTCCCACAAAGTCTGAGGGACAGTGGACCCCTGCTGAAAAAGTTTGCTGACCCCTGCCCTAGAACATCAGTTTAGATCATGCAGAGCAAGGTGGACCAAAGATCAGACTCTTAGGGTTGAAGCAGTAAAAGGGAAAAAAAATGTTTTGGGATCGATATTCAGCCTCTGTACTGGAAGTACTGGAATTGCAATTCTTTGGATAGTTCTTTGGCTGTGTCAGATGTTCAAAAGCAAGTTTAAATGAAGTTACAAAAGCTAGTTTTGAGCTGTGGATCAGTTCCTATCTGGTGAAGTAGAGGTCTGTATAGGCTCTCATAGGCTCATCCAATGAAGTTTATCCAGGGGCAAGTTTGGCAGTATTTTGCCATATTGATACTGGTGTTTCAAGATGCCTTGATTTTGAAGGCTAGTGAAAAAGAGAGTGTGGAGACTTTATCTTGGATGTGAACTGAGCAAAGGTACAAATTCAACTAGATACATGTAAAAATATTTGTTTTTTAATTGTTTCTGCCGTAAAATAAGTTTTGAAGTAATTGAATTGTGTTCCACAAAGTGGAAGAAATATGTTAAATGCTGGTGTATTCGAAAGTTACATTGTGGAGAATACAAACTCACAATCTGAGACCCACACCAGGAGGGGGCAATCTTTCCTATCACTGTCATGCACACCAATTTGAGAATAAATGAATGTCTGAAGCAGTATATAGAATATTGGGAAGGGGCTTTACTGTATTATCTTAGAAATATGTTCAATTTACTAACCTAACCTTCCCTGAAATTTTGCCTCCAAATGTTTTACCTAACTTTTTTTCCAACTGCAGAGGTCTTTTTTACACCTTTCTTTTTTTAGAATAGTTTTCATTCATTTTTAAAGCGTATTAAAACCAAAGAATATAAATTAAAAAGCAAACATGGGCTAAGTAAATGATATATATTAAATTGTAGCACAACGCTAAAGTGTTTATTAGTTAGAGACAATTACATATTATGTATTTTACTATCGTACTACAGCAGTATTATTTACATCTTTATCTAACAATATTTATGTGCCACTTGGTTATAATAAAAGCAGTATAGAAGAAATATTATAATAATCAATAAAAAGAGTTAAAAACAATTACAAGATTTAAAAATAATTAAAAGTAACACTAAGAGATTAAAACATGTTAACGTTTACATGTCTGGATAGACTTGCGTAAACAAAAATGTTTTAAGTACTGTAGATTCCGGAGTATTAGTCGACTGGGCGTATAAGACGACCCCACAGATTGGCAGCTGCCAATTTGTGGGGTTGACTTATACGCCCAGTCTTATACGCGGCAGCTTTGCTGGGCAGCGGCAGTGGGCGGCAGGCTCCATGCTGGGAGGAAGCTGCCCGGCGAAGCCGCCCAGTGATGCCGGCCTAGCATCGCTGGGTGGCTTCCTCCCGGCGCGGAGCCCGCTGCCCATTGCCGCTGCCCAGCGAACCCATACTCAGCGTATAATACAACCCCGACTTTTTAGAGGATTTTCCGGGGTTAAAAAGTCGTCTTATACTCCGTAATCTATGGTAGGCTATTTTCAGAAGCCGAACGTCCAATGCGGCTTCTGCGGCTTTCGATTGAGTGCAGGAACGGATTAAGTCTGAGAACCAAGGTACCACTGTATTTAGGTATATTTTGTGACACCTGTAACAGTGCCAGTAGCACAGATTAAGCGGTAGGGTGGGCACATATTTTTTCCAAGCCAGATTGCAATGCAGGAGACTATTTTAGGGCCAGGAGGGAAGGGTTAGCCTTCCCAATCCCATGCACTGCAAATTCCACCGCCTCTGGCTGAAAATGCTGAACACTGTAAACCATAATATGATGGTATATTATATTGGATCCTTTTTTTTTATTACACATTTTGCATACACATACACATCTTATTGTGGGTGGAAGTATTTAGTGTGTTAGATAACTATCAATATTTTAAAATGTTGTCTGTATGTACAGCTGTACATTTATATGATAATCCAGTTGTTTATAGTTACCTGCCAAAAACTTGCACAAGCAGCTTACTCCAGAAAATCCAAAGAATGGTATCCAGCTAAGTCCTACTCAGTGAACCCATTCAAATTAATGGACCTGTGAATCATGTGTTAATGCCTCTGCTTTGAATAGGACTAATGCTGTATACAACCCAACAGATTTAACACAACTAAGTGAGATGGAAAAGGAGAAGGTCCATGCACACATTTTGCTTTTCCAAAAAAATTGAGTAAAGGTCAGATACAACTGAATTAATCTGAACCTTGAATAGTACATAAAACTAAAAGAGGAAGTAGGGAGAAGTGTTACTCTTCCAACTTCCCCCTTCAGCTCTATTAACTTATTAAAAGATAGCAACCCTACTACCTTATGATCAAGGAGGCAGTGAGTGTTGGGGCTCAGAGGCTTTGTGGACACTAGCAAAGACTTCAAGGGTAGTATTGTGCCCACGGGCACCATGCTGGTGACCCCTGGAGTTCTTTTCACAGATACATGATAACATGCGCTTAATTATGGTGGACATATACGCAGATTCAGCTTTTATTTTCTCTCTTTTGTCCCTCCTGGAACCCAAGTGAGACTGATGTGGTGCAGTGGTCAGACTAGGACCTGGGTTCAAATCACCCCACTATATCATGAAGCTCACTGGGTGACCCTGGGCTGGTTACTGCCTTTCCACTTAACATGCCTCATAGAGTTGTGGGGATTAAATGAGGAAGAGGAAAGACATGTATTTAAGCTCCTTAGAGAAAAATGTGGGGTATAGTACAGTAAATAAGTGACACCCAAGAGCACTGACCAGACCCTGACCCACTTAACTTCAGTCGGTTGTTTCTCATCAGACCCATAGCCTGGGGCTTCTTCTGTTAAGTGCTTTCTCATTCTCTTGTATGAAACTTTGTCCACCGGCTCCAACCCCCCACCCCCACCCTACAACCCTTCCACCCCCACAAAAACAACAACTAGGGAGAGGAGAAGCAAGCGCAAATTCATTCACAGAGCCGCCCTACCGCACGTCTCTTTCTCGCAGCCTCGAGGTCTATGAACCCAACACTTTACCCTCCCCATCGCAGCTCTGGGCTGCCTGCCCCCCGCCCGCGCCTTCTTCTGTTTCCCGGTGTGTGTGTGTGCGCGCGCGCAGGCGTGTTATGTCTCGCTTGCCTTTTTGCAGAGCGGCTCGGAGGAGGAGGAGGAGGTGGAGGAGGAGGATGAGAACAGAGCCGGAGGGAGGCGGCGCCTGTTCCTGGAAGAGCTCAGCCTGGGGAGTTGGTCACATTCTTGGCTGGGATTCAAGAGCTGAGGCAGACACCAACAAACAGTGAGGTGGGGGGGGGCGCGGAGGGGGAGGAGTGCACAGCCAGCCAGCCAGCCTTGCCTGCCTGCCTGCCTGCATTAGCTCAGCTCTGAAACACCCTCAGTCTGGGCTGGAGCGTGGAGTTGGGAGGATGTGAGCTGCCGCGGCTCCCACATTGAAAAGGAGAAGAGGCGGAAAGCAAAGCCAGCCAGAGAGAAAAAGAAAGAACGAAGCAACTCTTTAAAAGAAAGGAAATCTTCTCTTCCCACCCCCACCCGCAGTTTCAAGGGACCACGAGTAGCAGAGAGAACAAGAGGGGGCGAAGAAGGAAGGAGACGCCTCGCTACAGTAGCAGCCGCCTCGGAATTTTGGAAGGGGGGGTTTAATTTTTTTATATTTTTTTTTTGCTTTGCCTCACACTACATCATCCCGCTTCCGGAGATCGACCTTCTATATAAAAATACACACACACGCACATTATTATTTTCCTTTTAAAAAACATTTTTTTGGTGGACATGGACAGAAAGGAGCTGACTTCCCCGACGCCAGACGCCGACGCCGCTGCTATTTGGACATCTTTCAAGACCCTCTGGTGCTATTGACTCTCTTCAGCCCCCTTTCCACGTTGTTGCTACAGATTTATTAGCAATTTTTTTGAGGGGGGGAGGGAGGGAGGTTGATCAGTCGGTTTTGTTTGAGCCTCGTGTGTGTTTGTGTGAACTGAAGACTGCTGGCTTGAATGGAGGTGGGAGGGCAAGCTACCCTTTGAGAAGGCAGTGCGCTTTTTCTTTTTATAACTTTTTCCTCTCCCCCTCCCCGAAGATATAAATATTTTCCCCCTGGATTGGCTCTTCTTTTGCTCCAGCGTATTTAGAACAACAACTAAGAACCCCAAACTTATCGAGGGGGTGTTTGGAAAAGCGGACCAAAAGTAACCCACCGGGAGGAAACGTGTTTTTCTTTTTTTTTGAGCGAATAATATGAGATTCTTGAGTGGCTTCCCTCTCTCCTTCGCCGTCTTCAATGGACAACAACAAATTTAAGAAGAGCGGCGTTTCTCGCCTTTAAAGGAAAAGAAAAACAGAAGCCTGGAAAAGATTTTAAGCGAGGTTCGGTTTAGTTTTTTGCATTGCCTTTGGTGAAAAAGCTAGAAAGGAGGAGTTATTATTTTCTTATTGTTGTTATTTTTTTTAAAAAAAGGAATAAAAAGGCGGGAGACCACCACAAAATAACCTAAAATGGAGACTGTAAGAAGCAGCTTCCAGCCTCATCCCGGCCTGCAGAAGACCTTGGAACAGTTTCATCTGAGCTCCATGAACTCGCTGGGTGGTCCAGCCGCCTTCTCTGCGCGCTGGGCGCAGGAGCTGCTGTACAAGCGGGAGAACGGCAAGGAGTCCTCGTCCTCGACGTCCTCCTCGGGGGAGCCTGTGCTCCACTTGCCGCCCATCCAGCCGCCGCCGGTGATGCCGGGGCCCTTCTTCATGCCCTCAGACCGCTCGACCGAACGCTGCGAGACCGTCCTGGAGGGCGAGACCATCTCGTGCTTCGTGGTGGGCGGCGAGAAGCGCCTCTGCCTGCCGCAGATCCTCAACTCCGTCCTGCGCGACTTCTCGCTGCAGCAGATCAACGCAGTGTGCGACGAGCTCCACATCTACTGCTCCCGCTGCACGGCGGACCAGCTGGAGATCCTCAAAGTCATGGGCATCCTGCCCTTCTCGGCGCCCTCCTGCGGGCTCATCACTAAGACGGACGCCGAGAGGCTTTGCAACGCCTTGCTCTACGGAGGCGCCTACCCGCCGGGGCGCTGCAAGAAGGAGTTCTCCGGGAGCCACCACGGAGCCGCGCTCGAGCTGGAGCTGACCGAGCGGAGCTTCAAGGTATACCACGAATGTTTCGGGAAATGCAAGGGGCTCCTGGTGCCGGAGCTGTATAGCAGCCCTGGCGCGGCGTGCATCCAGTGCCTCGATTGCCGGCTCATGTACCCGCCGCACAAGTTTGTCATCCACTCGCACAAGTCCCTGGAGAACCGGACTTGCCACTGGGGCTTCGACTCGGCCAACTGGCGAGCCTACATCCTCCTCAGCCAGGATTACTCCGGCAAAGAAGAGAAAGCCAGACTGGGCCAGTGCTTGGATGAGATGAAGGAGAAGTTCGACTACAGCAACCGATACAAGAGGAAAGCACCCAGGGTGAGTCCTCTTGGATTTGGTTTTGAGGGATCGGCGCTTAAATTTGGGGATGGGGTCGCTAGAGGATTGGGCTCTTAAAAACTCTGCCGAGATTGCTTAAAAAGAAAGAAAAAAGGTGTGTGAACTTCGGTGGCAAGAGTAAGGGTTGCAACTGTACAAACTCTGCAGCTAGATACTTGGTGCATCTCTAGCATCTATTATGCGTTTGCAGTGAGACCTACTTCTGAATAAAAATGCAGATAGAATTGGCTGCATATTTTACACGGTCCCACAGATAGCCACTTTAAGTGGCTATTGCCTGAACCATGTAGTAGGATCCCGGAAGGGATCGTATATAATCTCTTATTGGACTCCCACCAGTCTGTGGTTCAGGCGATAACTGTTTTAAATAGACCTTGTTCTCTCAGGGATTGGGAGCTATGTAGTGAGAAGGCACTGCATGCTCACTGGGAAATAAGCCTCATTGTGTTCAACTGGGCTACTTCCTAGGTAAATGTGCATCTAGCTGTAAGAGTCCCACATAACTCTTTCTGAAAGGAGTAATGTGTGTGAGAGAGCAGCTGGAAAAACCTGCTGCATTCACCTCAAGGATGCTTATACCATGCATGCAAACTTTGGTGAAGCATGGCCCTAGGTGTGCAGACTCAGAAGTGAGTCCTATTGAATCCAGTGGGACTTAGTAATCAGAAAAGGATCTTAGGATTGTACTTCTAGAGAATAAAGAACTCTGTCAGACTTATTTAGGAATAGAAATAGGATTGTGCTGATAGGTTCTTAAGGTGAATCACATTGGGCTGTTTTGTCCTTTTTTCTTTTCAAACAGTCTCAAGGGAGCTGGCTTTTTCTTTTGAAATATACCCTTTGGTCTTTCTTATTTTGGGATATATTTACTTCTGTAGACTAGCAGGGCTCTCTACTGGACTTTAACTGAAGCAGCAAAATTGGATTTGTTTAAAAATTCTTGTAACCAACCTGTCTTTTTCGGGGAGGGGGAGTCCACACATTTACCATTATTCTGTTCACTTTTCTTGTTGCAAACTTAAATACTGTACATTTTATGCACCTGTTTAAACAGGACACAAAAGGTGGCCTACCATATTCTGCCCTTGGGTTTTGCATCTTAACAAACTCAAATAGGTATATGTGGTGCTACAAATAGGGCAAGGAAAGATGAATTGAATGAATGAATGAATTGATTATCTACAGGCAGAAATCACTGGCTTCTATCCTTAGGATTAATCTCAAAACTTGACAAATGTAGTGACAGAAACGAGAGCTGAAAAGCTTCTAAATGTATTGCATTGGCAGGATAAATAAACACACAAACAGATAAGATTCCAGACAGTGGAGGCTGGTCCATTAGGGCAAATGAGGCACCTCCCCACCAACCTCAGTCTGTCCTCAGCCAGCCCCCACCTGCCTGCTTTCTAATTTACAACTAGTCCAGGGGGTGGCACTGCCTGTCACATTCCTCCTCCAGTCATTGTTACCCTTGCAGAACTCAGCAGCCAAGATGATGGGGACAAAACTAAAATTAGTTGGCTCTCCCTGTCATTGGCTCTGACCGCATCTACTGTTTGGGCTCCATGCCTTCCTCCCTTCCAGTCACAATGGGCACCAGCCACTACTGATCCCAGGATGTTCCAATCCAGGGTACTTGCAGATGCTGTTGATATATGTGTGCAGACTACATAGTGTATTTTTGGTGCTCTGTACAGTGTTGATCTAGTCCCCCCTCCACCCCTTTTCTCTCCTGATGCTAGTTTGTGTATGGGTTATATTTACACTAAGGAAATGGATGTGTCCTGGGACAACTGCTGCAGCAAGCTTTAAAGTATGACAGGCAATTGCGGAGTCTGCCCAGCCAGACAGCTAGGTACTCTTTAATCTGCAGCAGTATTCAATTTCCAGACTTCTCAAAGTTGGTGACTGGGTGAGAAAGTTGGGAGGGGAGACCTTGTGTTGGCATCAGTCCTGGTCAGTGGGGGTACTTATGCTATGGGGTAGCTTGAAAAAAATGCCCAGGGTCAGACAAGACATCTGATTATTCAAAAGAATGCAAGGTGCAGCAAAGGAGAAAGGTCTAGTTAACTCCTTAACTGCACAGACTTTTTTGATAGTCATGGGAAATTATAGGGTATCAAAGGAGACTCATTTAATACTTATTAAGGGAATGTTCAGTTCAGACTTCTTCCCCTTCCCGCTCCCCTTTAAACTCCCACACACCTATTTTGGAGAGAATGTGCAAGCACCCACACACATCTGGAGATAAAGGCATGTGCAGCTTCTCCTTTTGGGAAACAGGCTGAATGCGCATACAAACAACAACAACAACAACAGAAACCCACCAGGCTTTGGGATATCTTTCCATTCCTGTCTACTTGGCTATTTCCCCTTTCAAAGTGAAGGAAGTAGTTCTTGTTTTCTCCTTAGTTCCCCTCCTCCTCCACAGATTCAGCATAAGAGCTATTGTAGGTCTAAAGACCCACATTATTTATCATGTGCTGCTAATGGCTTGTCTGTCTTCAGCTAATCATATGCTAAAAGTGGCTGTTTGGGGCATATGAATGGAAAGTGGAGGTGCACTGAGAATGCAGGGGCACATTTTTTAAAAATATGCATCTTTTTGAAGGCTTGTGGGACAACCAACATCTCTTTCCATTCTGGGCAGCACAAAGAAATAATATTTCTGTGCCCAAACTCTTGAGTGTTCTTGCACAACTTTATTTATAGTGTCATATTAATCATAGCTGTTTGTACATATTTAGCCCCCCCATTGTAATGGACTTCCATTTTTATGGTTTTCAGTTACCATTTCGATTGTGTTTCTGAATGACTTTTGGATATATGAAAGAGAATAATGAATTGATTTATGAAAGAAATCAGAAACTAGCATAGAAATTCTCAGTAACTTCAGGGTGTGTGTATGTGTGTATCTGGCCCACTACTTTTTTTTTAAGGCATCCAGCAAATTGGTCCAGGATTGGTGTGAAGCTTGAGACCAAATTAAAACCTTGGTCTCAGTACTGACCATAATACATTGCTTGAAATACTGTTTCCCCATCAGACTGAAATGGGCAGCCTTTGCTTTTCCTCAGTTGTGAGGCAGCTGTGGTGGAAAGAAAGCCAGGATATGCATATATCTCTGCCTGTGCCCCAAGAATGGGATGGAGTTGAAATATTATTTCACCTCCCTTCTCAAGGTGAGTTGTTTCAAGACTTTTAACTATGGCTAGAAGAACTTGTGTTTTTGCTCTTGAGAAGACCTTGCTGGCAGGTAGGCCACCTGTCTGGCATCCCAACAAAAAGTTGCTTCTCTCCCATTCATTTTTCCATCAGACATAGCCAAAGGGATATTGCATGTTTTGTGCTGTAGCAGATAGCCATGCTGGAAGCAAAACAATAACCACATACAAACACACACAGAGCTGCAGGGTTGGTAGACTGTGGCCAGAGGCAAATAACATTGAAATAAAATTGAGGTCGCCTAGGGAGGAAATGGTGGTGGAAACCTAACCAATCTTGTGTTTGGCTGTTTGCATTTACTATGTTTAAGTTCTGTCTGCATCTCATCCTTAAGCTCTCTGTGTGTGTCTTTTGCTCACAGCTGTCTGCAAATCATGGGCCTCTGTGGGTTTTTGCCTTGTGTGCCCTGCATAATAATGATGATGATCCTTCTTGGGAGTGTGTCCCAGCTGTTGGATGGGGACAATGTGGATTGTTTGAATACAAAGAGGTAGGGGTGATCCTACCCCACCCCCCTGGGTTTGTGGGAGTTAGTTGGTAGTAAGATGACTTTATGTGGCTCTCCTGCAGTAAGCTTTGGAGAATAGTTCCCCAAAGTGGACTGTGAGATAAAAAAACACATCTGCCTTATACCCAGCGGAAGCTGCAGCTGCCTCACCAACCACATTCTGCCCTCAGCCAGCCTCCTCCTTATAATCTAAAGCAAGTTCAGTGGGTGCCAGCTTCCTTCTCCTCAGTATCACCCCTGCAGAATTCAGCAGGGAAGAGGATAGGGACAAAATCAGAATTAGTTAACCCTTCCTGTCATTAGCCTTGAGCCTACCTACTGTCTGGACTCTCTGGATTCATTCCTACCAAGCACAGTAGATACTAGCCATCACTGCTCTTATGCTGAGTCAGACCACTGGTGCATTTAGCTCAGGACTGGTTGACATTGGCTCTCCAGGGGTTCAGATGGGATTCTTTGTCAGCTGTGCCTGTAAATGCCATGGACTACACCTTGTGAAAACTCCACTGAGCCTAATGTCCCTGATGTCTCTTTGTTGAGTTGCTGAAAGCTTTCTGTGGTGGGTCTGTGAGATGCATTTTTCTCCTGCTGCTGGATTCTGCCTGCATATGCAAAAGTTGATGTTGGGCTGTAATTTGAAGCCCAGTGATATTCTCCCTCCATAAGCAGAGGCAATACACCCCTTGACTCCTCAGATACTGAGAACATAGGAAGCTGGTTTGTATTGCATCAGACAACCTATCTAGCTCAGTATTGTCTACACTGACTGGCAGTGGCTCTTCAGGGTTTAGGCGAAAAGTCTTTCTCAGCCCCACATGGAGATGCTGGGGATTGAACTTGGACTCTTCTACATACCATTGAGCTATGGCCTTTCTCCAATAACACAGGATAACTCTTTCCTTTGCAAGCCTCCCCAGATGCATTTGCTTATCTAAGAAAATACTGGAGTTTGGTGCAATTGTCTGCTGCAAGACAATACTTGTGCTCACATATTGGCATAATTTTGTGTTCAGTAACACTTGGGACTATTCCACTCATGCAGCAACCCTAGGAGGGGAAAAGGGTGTGTGTGTTTCAGCTTCTTTTGGTACCTCCCACCTTGAGTTTGGTTTCTCCTAGCATGTTATTTGTTTGCATTCCTAGGGCTTAATCATTCCTTTGTGGAGTTCTTCAAATCCCCTAAGCCACATCACCTTTTGGACTTTGTTCTTTTACCTTCTCCCCCGCCCCCTCCAACACATTCATT